CTTACGGATAGACCTAAAACATGTCAAGATAAGCACAAAATCTTCACAAATGTAAGCCTAAAACATGCTAGAAACAAAGGCACACAACCTAAGGCATGTTAAGGGATCACAAGGCATTACATGGCAACTATGCTAAGCATGCATGGAGTACCAAAACCAATTTAAAATCATGTTATATTATGGATATATAAGCATGAAAAACAGCCTATACATGCTCAACACACACTCAAACATAGGCTCCCTTTAGAGACCAAAACATGCCCTTTTCAAGGACAACAAGGGGAGGGGGTGGCCCTCCCCTTTTGGAGACTTTAAGGCACCATCTTTACCACTGAAATCCCTCAAGATTTCAGTGGTGAAGAGGCCCAAACACTAAAGTCTCGAAACTCACTCAAAATAGCACAAGAAGAGGCCTTTCAAGGCCTAAGGGTGTTCAAACTTATCCAAACCACAAAACACTCTTAACAAACAACCAAGAGGGCTTAAAAAAGAACTTTTTTGTATTATACACTAAGCTCAAAAACGAATTTAAGATAGGTAGAAATACAATGCAAAAATGGGGTAAAAAGGGGTAAGATTCTTACCCTTGAAGACCTCTTCAACAAAGATGCTCCAATGGCCTTCCTTGGCTTGAATCCAACACCAAAACACTAAAATCAGTCCCTTAGAACCTCAGTAATCAAAGGAAGGTGAAACACTAGGTGTTTGTGTGCAATAGTAAGACACAAAACACCTAGAACACAAAGAGAGTAAAAGAGAGATAGAGTGTATATCTAACCCAAACCCTAAAACCAGAGCTCTCCTCTGTCTTCTCCCTCTCTAAAATGTCTAAACTCTCTAACCATAAGGCCAAGAGAGAAGGCTCTCTCTTATAGAGCCTTATTGCCTTGTAAAGCTTACAAGACAAGCTTCACAAGGAGGAGATCCCTCCATACACGTGTATGGAGGGGAGCAAAAGTAAGATAGCTGTCTTAAAATATCTGCAAAAGCAGATGCACAGTAGTCGGCCGGCCAAAAATGCCATCTTGGCCAAAAAGAGTGCCGACCGGCACTAAAAAGTGCTGACCGGCAACAAATAGTGCCGACCGGCAATAAACATTGCCGGTGGAGACAAAAACCAGCCGGTGGCCTCTAGCCACTGCCGGTGGTGGGTGGGGATGGTCTACAAGCCCTACCCTGCCTCTCAAAGGCAAAACACAAGTGTTTGGTGCAAAACCAGACACTAAACGGTCGAGTTCGGAGATCCTGAGGCAAGGCACGTAGCCGAAACCTCCGGGAACTCCAAACGAACACAAACATGGATGATCATCGAGTGTTCAAACGGTGACGTCCAAGTCTTGAGGACGGTCAAAAATGGGGTGTCTACAGCAGCTTTCTCGTGCCAAATGTGACTTGTAAGGACAGACGGTACGGAAATAGGACACGTAGGTTGGGAGTTAAAGTCGATAATGCCATAAACTTAGTTGAAAAAATGCGTTCGGGGGACAAAAATGCAAAACAGCCCTGCAATCATTGTTAGGATGTAACGGGTAGCTTTGCCATGCCAAATATGACCTGTAGAGACAAACGGTACGTAAATAGGACACGTAGGTTGAGAGTAGTCGAAAACACCTTTAACTTAGCTGAAAACAACGTTTGGGGCCCAAAAATGGAAAGTTAATTATTAATTACGTACAATGATTACTTGTAAAATTATTGGTTGCCTAATACATGTATTCGAGTTTTACATATTTTCTTTTAAATATATTCGAGTATGCAAAATTAATGATTAATTTGAAAAGATAAATTAATTTGAGTTTTATATGTTTTTTTATTATTTTAAATATGCCAATATTTAGTCAATACTAATGATTAATTTTATTTTTACAGATGGTTTTTGGCGTGAAATTGTGGATACGACTTTTTTTGACAAGTACGGAAGACATTGTTTTTAGTCTACGGATTAGAATTGTTCATACAAATTATTTTTTTGGCGTGGTACATATCTAAGTTTTGCTATGGTACAGATTACCTCTTGACGTTGTACAATTAGTTTTTGGTGCGATACAGATTACCTTTTGGAAATTAAATTTGGTTAATCCTCTGTTATGTATGGAATTATATTTTTGATATTGGATTATACTTGATTTGTATGGAGTTTCTATTACATTTAGAATTTGATATTAAATATGAATTTTTTGGATGGCTGAAAATGAAATGTATGGACGATGTGGAATGGTGGTTAATATAATCATTATTCAAGGATTATTCTGTTTGTATACAGGGTACAAGTTGCACAAATAATGAAATAAATACAGATGGTAGAAAAATTAATTTTTTTAAAAAAAATTTATAAAGTTTTTGGCTACTAAATATTTTGGTAGCCAAAAACGCAAGTAAAGGTTTTTAGTGACTAAATATTTAGTAATAAAAAAGAAAAAAGACTTTTGGTGACTAAATAGTTAATTAGTAGCCAAAACATATCAGATTGAGGGAAGAAACAATTGCCGACTAAATATTTTAGTCACAAAAGAACATGACATCCTTCGGTGACTAAAATGTTTAGTCGCCAATTGTTGAATCATTTTTATGTAGAAGTTTTCGGCGACTAATATTTTAGTCACCAAATGGTTACCTTTGGCGACTAATAAATTTTTAGTAGCCAAAAGTAGTAAGTTAGTGACCAAAAAAATTTTAGTCGCCAATTCTATCGCTGACAAAGTATACCTAACTAACTGAGCGACTAAAATTTTTAGCCACCGTTGACTTTCGGCGACCAAAAATGAGCTTTTGGCGACTAATATTTTAGTAGCCAAAAGTGTATTTTCTTGTAATATAAGGACAATTGAAGATATCATTGCTCAATTTTAAAGGCAAAATCATCAATTTGATAAAATATAAACTTAATTGACAAAAATAAATGTCAAAAAAATATTTTTAAAAATGATTTTTACCCGCCAAAGGCAAAATTATGCAAAATTGATAAATTTTTTACACACACACACACATACACACACACACACACACATATACATATATATATATATATATATATATTTATCAAATTAATTTTTATTATATATTTGGATGATGATCATATAATGGGTGGTTGTTTTTGTTGATGCTTTTTGATGGTTGTCATGTAATAGATGATTGTATTTATTGTTAACAGATATTTTTTGGATGATTATCATATAATTGAAGGTTATTAGGCTTTTAATGCGTAATCGACATATTTAATATTTAAAATATTTTTAATTTTGAATTTTTTGATTTATTGGATTGGTTTAGTAATGATATTAAAATTGTCGCCATATTTGGCTTTTGAAAAAATTGAAACTAATTTAATGAAATAAAAACAATCACCCATTATATGATTATCATCCAAACATCTACTAAAAATTAATGTGGTAAAGAAAATAAAAAATAAAAATGTAAAAGATTTATCAATTTTACATAATTTTATCTTTGGTGGGTAGAAATAATTTTTAAAATTTAAAAATATTTTTTTGACATTTATTTTTGTTAAATTAGTTTATATTTTATCACATTGACGAATTTGCCCTTGAAATTGAGTAATTGTATCTTCAATTGTCCTTATTTGGAACAAGATTCAAAATTCATGATCAAATGTGTTACAATTAAAAAGTTAGGGAGCAAAGTGATACGAGCTCCAAACTACAGGACCGTTAATGTAATTCGCCCCAAAATCTATAATTAAAAGTCAAAATTAAATCAATTGAAAGTGTAGAGACTAAAATAACTTAAATGACAAAATATAAAGACAATCAGAGTAATTTGCCATATTTTTTTATTATTTTTTTTAAAGAAAGGTATCAAACAAGTCTATAGTTCACATTGCCAAAGATTTAATACATGGAAGGTGGTTTGGAGATGAACCACACAACATATAATACATTGCCAAAGATTTGAAAAAGCACTGTGGTGGAATTCATGCAAAATTTGGAAGGAATGGGCCACAGTAATAAAGGTATTTTGCTTTCCATACCAAAAGCAGATAAATTGAAGAAACAGAAAGAGAGATTAATTAGCCCTCCCTTAACATGGGACGAAGGTTGTTTTCACTCAACCAACACATTCTCTCCAGCCACACCACCCTCACTCTAATCTCATTCTCTCCTTTTCTTAATTTTTTTTTTGAAGTTTTTATATCTCCTACCATAACTCGAACGTAAAAGTTATGTACCTGAAAAAGTTTTTTTTTCACATTATCTTAAAAAAAAAAATGGTGTAAATTTAATGGGTCAGATTTAAAAAAGTTTGGTCCAATAGATTTCATTTTTGCATAATTTTCAAGTGGAAATGCTATACGAAAGAATATATTTTATGTTTTTTCTTACTCATTGACCTGACATGCAATAATGATATTTGGAATTTAAAATGTGACTAATCATAATGATAATAAAAATTTGTCAAATTTAATGGCTACATAACATTATTAGTTTTTTTTTTTTTAAAAAAAAAAACAATAATTTTGCGCACACAAATTTTGTACATAAAACTCATTCACTTGTGTGACGGTAACATTTTAACAATTATAAGTCACTATGATGGATGTTTTGGATTGAAAAAAAAAAAAACACAAAGCCAAAATGAGACATTATGCCTAATAAAAGAATACCTCATTAATCAGACTTACCCCTTACGCTGTATTTGGTTGAGAAATTTGAGAAAAAATTTTGAAAAGGAAAGAAAAAAAATATGTGAAATTAGATGAAATGTAAGTATATTTTATAAATATTTTATTTACCTTTCTCATTTCTTTTCTAAATCACTGTCTAAATCCTCCGATCAAAAACAGCGTTATTAGTCTCCCATTCATACCTTTCAACCATGAATATAACCTCTCTCTCTCTCTCTCTCTCTCTCTCTATATATACAATGTATATATATGTAGGTGTAGGAACATGTGTTGAATCCAAGAAACAACAGTCTTGATTTTCATACTATAGCTATCAAGTGAATGATTTGAAATTCGAGTTATTGCACTCATACATCACATGGAGCCCTCAGATATCTCACTTAGCTTCTCTGACCCAGTAGCCTCTTCTTCTAGCATTCACACTGACAATACCGAGACCTTCCATTTCTTCCCAAACAGGACCCAAAGCTCTCTCGAGCCACTGCCATTGCTGAGCTGCTTGCTTCGTTCCCCTGAAACTAAGTCCGATGAAAACAAACCTTGCCATGAAGACGATGAGGGCATCACTGTGGCCTTACACATTGGCCTTCCCAATTGCACCATTGATGGGTTCGTGAATTCAAGTGAGAAGAAGGAGGATGCACACGTGGCGGAAACCCAGTATTGGATACCAACTCCGGCACAGATACTCGTTGGCTTCACACACTTTTCGTGCCATGTCTGCGACAAAACCTTCAATCGATATAACAATCTTCAGGTGCAATTACTGTTTCACATTCTAAACGCAGTTTAAAATTTATCAACGTTTTTGCCTTTAATAAAATTTAGAACTAGCTACGTGATACATTGTGTTAATCAAGACTTTTATATGATCCAATGAATTTCTACTTCAATATTGAATATTTTGGATGTCTTTTTCATAATATGCTTTTACCTCGAATTAATGGTTGCTTGATATTAGAACTAAATGTCTCTCAAATAAGGGGAGAGTTTAGTGCATTTGAATTTTAGTGCTTAATACGTTGTGATTATAATGATTGATATTTTGAATATGAAGCCGTTATTTAATTTATTGCCGTATGAAAATTTGAAGAAGGGACTGTTGGTTTTAACCGGAACTCCTAATTTTTTTTTTTTAGAAACATTGAATCAAATACAAAATGTTTATTGATGGACAAGGTTTTTTATACATGGATCCCACCAACAAATTTTGAAAAATCTTATCTATTAGTTCATAATAGAATTTGTTCTTTTGCATGTTCATACTGCAACAAGTTGACATTATTTTAAAATTTGAAGCTAAATTAGTAATTCCTCTAATTTTTCTTTTTAATGTTGCCTTTTAGAAATTCCATAAAATAGTTAAGATGGCAACGAGAAATGGAGTCAACTTTTGTTTACATTGAGCAAAAATCTTATAAAAATTGATCATAACATTAAGACATCCACATATTTAATAAATCATATATCATATGAAAAAGAAAAAGAAAAAAAAAGAAATAACAAATCAGTGTAATGTTAGAAACTTTTTCATGTGTATGTAACTACTGTTTAAGAGTATGTTAGAAAGTAACTTTAGAGATCTTAGGAATTTTAATAAAATTTTTATCAAATATCTGACATGAGTGTTAGACTCACATGAAACCATGGTGTATATAGATGCATATGTGGGGACACGGATCACAGTACCGCAAGGGACCAGAATCTCTAAAGGGTTCACAGCCACGAGCCATGCTAGGCATACCATGCTACTGCTGCGAAGAAGAATGCAAGAACAACATAAACCACCCGAGAGCAAAGCCACTCAAGGACTTCCGAACCCTCCAAACACACTACAAGAGGAAGCATGGCATGAAGCGGTTCGCCTGCAGGAAGTGCGGCAAGTGCTTGGCGGTGAAAGGCGACTGGCGAACCCACGAGAAGAACTGTGGCAAGCGCTGGCTCTGCGTGTGTGGCTCCGATTTCAAGCACAAGAGGTCTCTGAAAGATCATATTAGGTCATTTGGCACTGGTCATGGCTCTTTTCCTAATCCTTCTGATGGGTATGAGATACGTGGTGATGATGATATGCATTCTTTCTTTGTTTAAGATGTGTAAACTGAAACTGTGATTATGATTCCACTTTGATGAACCTTGTTAGTATGGTTTGTGTGTTCATTGAAGACAGCATTTTGTGCAATGAGCATTCGGAAATTTTATGGATTGGAGTGCAGTAAATGCACAACATTGTGGCATTTTAGGCCTCGAAGGTACAACTTAGCTAATTCGAGAATACTGTGACATTACATACAAGATGGTTATAATAAAAATGAAATTACAAAACACATTAGAGGTTAATTTTCTTTATTTTTTGATTGTTATCTTTAGTGAACTTTATCAAAATTTGGTTTTTTATTTTTATTTTTAAATTTTTTTATTTTTTATTTTTAAGACATTCTAATCTAGAAGGATCTAAAATTAAACAACATCAAAAAAAAATTAAAAATTACAAATAAAAAGAAATTGAAAAAAATGTGACTAATTCCCAAACAGCCACAACAATTGAATACTATTAGCTATTGGCATGGATATCTTAAATTTGTTTTCCAAAATGAAAGAAGATTTTGATCCTATTAATTAATGAATGAAAATGAAAATCTCAGTTTAAAACAGAGGTTTTTTTTTTTTGTTTTTTTTTTTTTTGAACTGGGTTTAAAACAGAGGTTTGATTGCTAGCTTTCAGTTAGAGATCCAGCTGTCTCTAAAATTTCTATTTCTTTTATTTCACATTCGGAAATTTTATGAATTGGAGTGCAGTATATGCACAACATTGTGGCATTTTAGGCCTCGAAGGTACAACTTAGCTAATTCGAGAATACTGTGACATTACATACAAGATGGTTATAGTAAAAATGAAATTACAAAACATTTATTTTTTTATTGTTATCTTTAGTGAACTTTATCAAAATTTGTTTTTTTTTTTTTTTAAGACATTCTAATCTAGAAGGATCTAAAATTAAACAACATCAAAAAAAAATTAAAAATTACAAATAAAAAGAAATTGAAAAAAATGTGACTAATTCCCAAACAGCCACAACAATTGAATACTATTAGCTATTGGCATGGATATCTTAAATTTGTTTTCCAAAATGAAAGAAGATTTTGATCCTATTAATTAATGAATGAAAATGAAAATCTCAGTTTAAAACAGAGGTTTTTTTTTTTTGTTTTTTTTTTTTTTGAACTGGGTTTAAAACAGAGGTTTGATTGCTAGCTTTCAGTTAGAGATCCAGCTGTCTCTAAAATTTCTATTTCTTTTATTTCATTGCACTCCACCCTATTTTATTTATTTATTTATTTGTTTTTGAGCAAGAAATAAAAATTTTAAAAATAGACCATCCGTGTCATATTTTTCTTTATTGGCTTACCAATGAAGTCTTCCTCTTAGATCGGTTAATGGTTTGTTGAGAGTTTGGGACTATGTTATTAATGTCAGTAAAAAGAATAACAGTTTGCTTCTTTGGGACTATATAGCATTATTCATATGCTATTTAATGTCAGCCTATTAATATTCAACTCTTTTGGAAATCAATTACCTAGCAGGATTTAGTGCACAATCCATCTCAACTTTTTTTTTTTTTTTTTTTTTTTTTTTTTTTTTTAACTGTTACGGTAATTCTGTGAAATGTTAGTGAAGTAATTATATTTTACTTTTTATTTTTCCTTTTTAAATTTTTATCCAAATTTATAAATCAATCACAACCTAAGAGATTAATTATAAATAAGAAATTTACATAAAATTAAACAATTATATAATTTGACAATACATAGTTGGAAACTTAACAACCGCAAAACCTAACAACTACAAGAAATTGCCTAAACCCAAACTGCCAACAAATGAATAACAAAATACGACCTCTATAATGGAGGCAAACATTGACCTCTTGATCTTTCATATATGAGGTGATTATTCAGTACTATTGGAATATGAATACATGATATTTTATAAGATTTTAATTATTCAGTACTTCCGAAATATGGATACGTGGTGTTCAATAGCTATCAACTAAATTAGCTATTAATCGTAAAACAATTTCATTCAGCTAGGCTTTATTTGGGAACAAATTATTTTAGTAACTTTTTAGATTTTTGGCTAAAATATGAGGTACAAAAATTAATACGTTTGGAATAACTTTTTGTTATTTATGAAAAGATGTGCAAAAAGTAGAGAAAAAAACGAATCTTTGATTTTTGGTATAAGTTATAGGTTTTTTTGATTTTTTTAATAAATTTTTAACTTTTAGGCTAAAACTGTTGCATGCCAAACGAGACCTAATTGGGATGGAGCTCCAAAAGTAACTCAATTTTGTAGGCCTAATTTTTAAGGACTTTTGCATAGGTCTTAATAAGTGAATTTAATGTCCAATTAGTTCTATGATAATTAATGACGTTTTTCATCAAACACTATTAACAAACGTCACTAATTGTTAATTTTTAGCGACAATTTAAAAATTTTATCACAAAAAATATCACTAATTATAGGTTTTAGCGATAGCTTAAAAAAATGTCACAAAAAAGTCACTAATTTTTAATTTTTAGCGACAGTTTGAAATTCGTCATAAAAAAAGTTACTAATTGTAAGTTTTAGTGATAATTTATAAAAAAGGTGACAAAAAAAGTCACTAATTGTCAATTTTTAGGGACAAATGCAAAAAATTGTACAAAAAAATTATTTCTAGCGACGATTTTACTAAGACTTATTTTTAATATTTTTGTTAGAAATTAAGTCAAACTATTAAGACCTAATGGTAGTTTATCCAATTTATTTATTTTATTTATTTATTTTTTTCTGAATGTTTTAAATTGTGTCAATTTATTTTAATTAATAATTTACGTTAACAAATTAAATAAGGAGAACTCAAGCACAAGATGAAGAATTTAAAAAGGAATGAACTATTTTTAATTGGACCGTAGCCCCACACTCGCTTTAATGATAATAAAGATTATTTTGTCCCTTGATTTTATTTTTAATTTAAAAAAAAAACCTTTAGCAATTGGATTAAATTAACATTATGAAGACCAAATCTATACTACTATACAAGTTATTATTTTTATTTTTTTTGTATGGACATAAATATATTTTTCTGTAGAATGAGTTTGTTTATGATGATAATAATTAGAAAGTGAGAGAAATAAAAAAAAAATTAAATTATATTTGTTTAATATGGAAATGATGAAAACTACAAGAAAACATTGTAACCAACTTATCAATTTCTTGTAAAAAACACAATAAAATTTAAATTTGTTTATGTAAGGAGTTTATCTATAATTAAAATTTAAATTTTTCTATCAATTTCCTGTAAAATTTTCATCTTAATCAATGCCTTAAAATATATGTTTGGTTGTGATTTCAAATCACGATTCCACACCTTAATTTAAGTATGGTGTTTGGTTAGAGTTCTCAAATGATGTTTCCAAAACTCTGCAGAAAACATCCTATCTGAGGCGCTGTTTTCTGTTTTGACAGACGCGCTTTTCAAATTTTTTTTTCAAAATTTGGCCTAACGGGACGTCCGGCCAGTCGTCCAGCCGGTTGACTGGAATAGTGATTTTTTTTTTCAATTGATATGTTAATTTTTTTATAATCGAAAAAAATATTTTCTGAATTTTTTTTATTTTTTTATGTGCTTTAAAATAATTTTGAGTTGTATGTTTAGTTATGAGTTGTAAATTTTTGTATCAAATATCAAATGTCACATCAACAATTCCCCGTTCAAATCAAAACTCTTTTCAAAACTATTTTAAAAACTCTTTACCAAATAAATTTTCTACACTCAAATCATAATTCCAAACCTCACAAACTCAAAATATGACTCATACTCTCAAATCATAATTACAAAACACAACCAAACGCAACCTATTTTCACTTTCACTTGTTACAAATATTTTTTTTTTTATGGAAAAGGTGACGATAAATTTTGAAGAAAAAGAAATTCAGAAACAAAAAATTAGCACTGAAGTGGTGAGAGGTTGTTTAGTTAAGGGGAAATTACCACCCAGTGATATTTTTACAAAATTATTACAAATTAATAGAAAATTTGAAGGATTTAATTATTAATATTTATAAAAGTTTACTATTCTGTAATTATTTTTGAAATATACATTGAATTTAAATTTCCCTTTTAGTTAATTAAAGCCTGGGCCATGAATACTGGGCCCGTCAAGTATCGAAAGAAAATTTGAAAATTAAAAAAGCCCAAGTTTGGCCGTGAACATATTAAATATTCTTAACTCAGATGAATGATGTTCTTGAAAAATTAGGTCCGGAATGGACATCTATTTATCTTTCTTTAGTTCCTCCATTCTTTACTCTCTCTCTCTCTCTCTCTCTCTCTCTCTCTCTCTCAAATGTAGATATCATTGGCCAGCATAGGCATATTAGACTAAGTCCCTACAGTCAATGGCGTAGCCACATGGTGACCAAGGGAGTCACATGCCCCTTTAATTTTATTTATTTATTTTTTACATATGTATATAAATAAAATTTTAAACAAAAATAATATTTAGAATAAAATGTCAAATACATTTTTAAATTTATGAAAACAATAGTGATTATTTTATTGAAAATGAAGCAAGTACAACAAATTATATTTTTATGTATGAAAATTTTGTGAAAAAATCTCAATATAAAGGTAATATCCATCATTATTGGTATGCAAATATAATTAATCTCACTATATATATGTAAAAATTACTAGAGTGTTAGTTATATTTGCATATGAAGTTCACCCTTCATATGTTACTTTACTATTAGTTGGTAATATCATATGTCAATAATGACGTGATATCACTATTATATGAAATTTTTACTCAAAATTTTTAAAAAATTTAATTTATCTTACCATTATATGATTTATTTTAAGACTTAACTATGTGACTTCCATGATACACTAGTTACACGCAATACTATTTTTTCGATTTTACTCGAAGTTAATTGTAAAATTTTATGTGAAATACTTTTGTAATAACTTATTTAAGTTTTTGTACTTAATATTAATTCAAAAATTATTATTATCTTCTATTATTGTTGGTTATGGAAAAAAAATTAA